AGAAAATAATTCCACTCTGAGTTCCTCTATAACTTTCTGCTGTTGCTTATTTACTTTCGACGCTATTAATTCATACATTTGAGCTGAACTAGTTCCTCTGCACTTGTTCTGGGTGGGCTTTGGGTTTCCTCCATATGTTTCTGCATTTGATTCTTTACTGAAGATGCTATTAATTCAGGGATTTCTTTTTTTATTTCCAATCTGAGTTCCTCTATACCTCTCTGCAGTTGTTTCCTTATTTCAGAATCACTTTATTCATTGATTTCAGCTGTGTTATTCCCAATTTGTTCTGTATTAGTGTCCTCTGCACTTGTTATGGGTGGGCTTAGGGTATGAGATTGCATTTTGCTCCTTCTCATTGTCATTTTGTATAGCACTGTCTTCTGACCTTTGTTGTAGAGCTTTGGTACAGTTATAACCTTAGCACCTACTGAAATTCAAATGCAGATCTACCAAGTTTGAATTTATCCAGCTCTGTCTGGCTTGTGTCTGGCTGCTGTGCTCAGCTCCTTCCTGCTGCTGCCCTTGGGAGTGAACCTGTTGTGCCCCTTTGGCAAGATGTTCTGCTCCTGGACTAGCTGGGTGATTCTGTCCCCTACTCTCTCTGCAGGGACTGCAGCTGCAGAGTTTCACCCCAGGCCTGTATGCCAGGCCTGAGTTGGGTCTGAAGGGGACAAGGTGGAGTAGCAGGGAGAGAAAGCTCTCCCACACACTCACGGCTAGGGCTGGATCTGGGGGTCCCAAGAATGCCACAGATGTTCTCACTCACTGGGCGGGAGTGGGGGAGAACTGTGGAGTGGTTGGGGGAGGTGCCAACAGCATGGAAGATGGTCTCACTCAGGCTGTGCCTGAGTTTGGACTGGACAGGTCCTGCAGGTGCAGGATAGCGGGAAACTCTACCACACACTCACAGGGCCTGGACTAGGGCTGGATCTGGGGTTCCCGAGAATGCAGCAGAAGTTCTCACTCACTGGGCAGGAGTGGAGGAGACTGCCAAGTGGGGGGGGGTCCCAAGGGGTGGAAGAGGGTCTCACCCATGCTGCACCTGGGCTTGGACCAGACAGATCCCGTCTGCACAGGGTAGGCAGAAGCTCTCCCACACACTCACCGGGCCTGGGCTAGGGCTGGATTTCCCTTGTAGCTGTTTTGAAATGCTTAGATGCTAACAACCAGTTACTCCGCTGTGCTACATAATTCTTCAAATCCAGCTGTGCCCCATGCTGATCAGTCTGTTCCCATTGAAAGCATTAGTTTCCCCAAGATGCTCTAGCCATGTCCTGGAGCAGTTGTTTCAGTGCTTCCTCCCATCTCAAGATCGTGGGTGGTACAGGGCTTAGAGCCCTATTTTCCAGTAAGCCTGGCCATCCTCCACAA